GGAAGGGGTATAAGCTGTCCTTCCGACTGCCTTGCGATATTTTGTTACAAATTTATACTCAAATTTCAATTGATTTGTTGTATCAAATATGTTTATACTCTGCTTAGCAAATTGTTTTATAAGTGTTAATGATATTCTTTTAATCCATAAATGTTCATTTTCCGGCTTTACATGAAATTCAATACTTTAAAGTAAATCCTATGTGTTTTGTTAAATAGAAACTTGAAATCTTTTAAATTTGTGTATTTATATTGCAGTGATGATGTACTATGAACAAACTGACATAGAATTATTTCCTGTTCTGTTCTGTACGGTACCGAAATAGTGATGTGGGTTGAACGCCTTGCAATCAGTTCAAAGGAAACAAAGTAAAAATGAAATTGCTTTCTGACAGAAAGCAAAACTATATCGAAAAGGAAGACAACTTAACTTACAGGAAGTGTACGTCATTGGCAGCACCGTCTACACACAGATTTATAAGAGCAACTTATAATATCGCTTACTTTAACAGAAATGAAGACCATTCAATAACAAACATCATAACCAAGGTTTGAAAAACAGCATCCATTATTTTGTAGAATGTTGAATGCACTGAAATGAAACCCCTAGCAAACAAAACCTTGTTTAACGAAAAAAATTAAGTGATATATCTTTTGTACTAAAATGAAATATTGTTGCTCTTTCCGTTTAATTTTCCCTATGTCAATCATAATAATATAGTAACTTGAATTCAGAATATACATGTATATGACAATACTACATCACTTACAACGGAAAGAGTTCAACCATTGAAACGATTAAGTAGTGGTTTTCTATTTCATTCAACAGAAATTAAATATTTTGTCAAAATGAATGCGGTGTCATACTTCCTTGATATTAACTGATGTAAAATAGAGAAAAGCAGAATCTCTAAAGGCAAACTTGTAAAATGTTGCAGGCTCGGTTTGGTTAAGCCTGTTTATAGACGGTTCGGGAAAGTGCAAGTTAACGTCTACTCTCCCCTAAAACCGGCTTAAGCAGGATTCAACATTTAACACGAAAATGGTGAAATTTGAAACATCTACTGATTGCTTCAAAATTCTCATGTGACCCAGCAGTGTGTTAACATTCCTATCAATAAACCCATAACACCTCAACGAAATTTTCTACTGTTAAAATGCATGTCGCAGTATTCGGGAAATCAGCATTTCACTCAAACCACCATCAAACCAAATGCCTTCAAACAAAATGGAATCAACTTCTAATAGCAAAATTGCGGGACACCAGGGTCGATTTAAATAATCAGGGGAGCTATTAATTTACTTTATTTTTTTGATAAAATTGTTATAAAGGGTTCACTATATGGCTGAATATGTTTGCATTTCATTCTGCATACCTCTCCAGTTCTTTTCAATTACCATAGCGGTTAATTAAACTACTTTCTATAAATAGATTTTCGGACATTCTCAATGTTCAAGTTATATATATTTAAAGCTTTGTTCCCGTTCTCATTCATTAATATGACATGCTGCAAATCACCGAAGGGGGGGGGGTGCAATATATGACTTTACATGACAGAAATAGAAAGGAAATCGTACTTCCGAATTTATTTTTAGGTTTAAATCGAAGCCATTAATTGATAAAAATCAGGTCCATGGACAAAAAAATAGTAAACACAAATAGCTTCGCGCCTGTGGGCGCGCAGCAATAAAGTAAAACATCTTCACCACATCATCACAAGAACATTCAGATTTGAACATAAAACTCAAGTATTGAAGGAGCTATAATGGATTTCTTTGGTTAATCGAGTGGACTTTAGAATTCCTGTGCAAACTTACAAAGTCCTACATGACCAGTCACCAATTTACATTACACATTTACTGAAGTTATTTCAACCAACAAAAAGCTTAAGATAAACGAACTCTTCAAAGCAACTTGTTGTTCACAAAAGTAGGACTGTAAGATATGATGAACGAAGTTTCTCTTTCGTTGAACCAAAACTGTGGAAAGCTCTCCCAGATAGTATCAGAGACTCACAAACATTAGATATTTTGAATAATTTTTTAAACAAATCCTGAAAATGTATAGTAACTAAATGTGCTGTATTTTTTATCACTGTGCATTGCTGAGCTGTCTTTTGTTCTAAGAGAGAGATCTGTGTACACATTTGAAATATAATAATCTGTTCAATTATTGATGAATTTTATCAAATTTTGTTTAAATTTCAGTTGTTTTATCTTGATTTGTACTTGTTAAACTGTAATAGTTTTAACCTTTCTTTACATTTTATTTTTAAGTCTGCATGTATTTTTTATCATTTTCTTTTTGTACGATCAACTGTGGGTTAGACTTTTATATCATATATTGGATTTTTTATATTAAGTAAATGTAAATATATATGTATGTTATTATAATCATTACATTTTTTAAGTCAATGTAAATGTTTAAAATTTTATTGTTAAGCGCCTTTAAACATTTTATTTTTTAGAAGGGCGCAATAAAAATAAGGTAATTATTATTATAGTTATTAAGACTAGCATTGCGGAAGTATTCTTTATTTAAATTTCAAGCAATGAATAAATTTTGTAACAGATAAATAGAATTATACACTTTAAGGCAACACGATATTTGTTAAACAACCATCTACATTTATCAATGACGACATTTAGCCCGTATTCAGGTTATGATGTAACTGATACCTGGCAATTTTCAGTTTTAGATATGCAACTTCGTGGATATAATATCCCTTTAATAGGACAATTTAAAGTCGGTCATCTTTACAAAAGCAGACACTTTTGATGACTTTACAATACCAAGTTAAATGTATGAATCGTAAGATAGCACGTGTTAAAGGGACTCCAATGAGATTTTTGTTGTTGTTGTTGTTTGACATGACGGGACTGAAAATAATTTTGCGAGATTTGTGTTCCATGTGATGTAGGTCTAAACCAACAAATTGTGTGCAAAATTTCAAATTCATTTGCTCATTGTCTTGCTCTGCATCATTATTCTAATTGTGAAAAATGGACAAAAAACATAAAACCGTTACAACGCTTTTCACTCAAATCAAACTCATAATTGCACATAAAAAATACCAATTTCAATTTATTTCTGAGCACAAATGTTTTATAATTGTTTGATATATTCCGGTCTGTAGTGCATGAATTCATCTATGTCGGAAATCTTTTAAGGCGTATGGAGTTTCTTTAAACCTAACAACCTTTAAATATTAAAAATTATTTTCTCTATCCTCTAATCTTGACAAAAGCAATTACCATCTTTAAAAAAATGAAAATTTTTATTGACTGACAAATAAACAGTTCCATGATTGGAGGGCTCGTATCTTCAGGTGCACTGATTTAATATTAATTTGCGGCTGTTGTAAACAAGGTTACCATAGTAGTAAAGTGACTTTCTTTCTTTCTTTCTCTTGTTTCCTATCTCTTCTTCTTTTCTCTTATTACTTCTCCTTCATTGCGCATGTTTTAATCATTAAATATTCTCAACATATTTAGTTTAATAGACCAACCACTAACTTAAGCAATATATCCCTTTAAAAATGAATTCATACTCGTGCTTATACCTCTAATCTAACAGAAATGTATCTTAAATTTAGTTCATGAATACTTGACATAAACATAGTATGTATAGTAAGAAAGCAAGTCGATATGATATGTTTAGTTTAGTTTAGATATTTATATTTTGTTACCATTATTTGTAATTTGTTAAAAACTGATTACGGAGAGAGTTTTCAAAAAAGCTTTACAAACTTTCAACTCAATCCGTAAATTTTATTTTATGTACTTCATTATGTAAATGTGTGAATTATTAATAAAATATTGTTTAAACTAACAAGGTTAAAAAGTAGTTTATTCAAGTAGATGAGCCTTAAAAATGTTCGTTCACTTCCTTGTTGTTTACCGATTAGTAATAGTTAAAGTACATGAAACGAGTTAGTTATGAGGATATAACACCTGGCGGGCGACATCAAGGGATGCTTCTGCTAAAAAATGGCGAGGCCGTTAGGCCGAGACAATTTTTTGCAGAAACATCCCAAGATGTCGACCCAGCAAGTGTTATATCTTCGTAACTTACGAGTTTCATATACTTTAACTATTTTATCGCAATGATATAATGTTTTCTTTTTTTTTGTAATAGAAATAAATAAATAAATAAATATAAATAAATAACTTAATAAAAAAATAAATTAGATAATCGTTAGCTACATTACAGTTATTTATGATAAGGCAGTTTTTTTCAAGTTGTTTTTGCTGCCGCAAAAAAAAGATATACAAAAGACATCCAATGTTAGAGGCGGAAAATAATTTCGTAATAATTCGTTACCACTGTCCCATTGGAGCCTCTGTGAAAAAACAACTACATTGATATATACAAGGTGCGAAAAAACTCAAACCGCTATATAGCAGTCGAGTTTTTTTTCCTATATGAATCAATGAAGCAACTGTACTGCAATATAGTTTTCAAATGCTCATTAAAAGTGTACTGAGTATACTGGATTAGTAAGAACAAAGGAAAAGTTCCAACCCATCGATAAAACAAAAATATAGTTTTAGTGAGAATTTTTTTTCTAGAATACAGTTTTTTTGTGAAATGCGACATTTATCATCGTTTATTGCAGGAATAATTATTATCCCATATCACTTTGACCAGTTTACTGTATATCTTTAAAATGTACGTATGTACTATGCTGGGAAACATAGCATGAAACCAGTTGGTTGACTGATATATCAAGCCCTTCTCCTTGTGGTCAATTAAAGGGAGATACAAATAATTTACTTGCTGTTAACTACTATGTAGAGTTGCTGATGAGAACGCATGTGGAAAATTAATCTGTCGTTCTCAGAAGGTTCCCACTGTCTGGAGGTGCGGTTTGAAGAGGATTAATTGTAATTATATTTAATAAATGTAATTGTAATTGAAGGGACTGTACTTTTTGTATTTTCAAAAAAGCAATTAGTTATATATGAAAATGTATATATGTATGTATGTATCTACATGTATACAATTATTTATTTTTCATCATTTATTTTCTGGAAGAAATGATTATGCTTTATTTTCTTAGAGTACATGTAAATTATGAAGTAAACTGGCAATGCACGTGATCTCCTTCATTCTGGCCCCATCCTCCCATGCTCGTGCACAGACTAAGCATTGTACTTGACTGTCCGGATGGGTTGTGAAGGTCAACAGCACGGCCGAGATAATGTTTGGATGTACAGCTGTGACATGCACCAGCAACTTCATTCACCTGAAACCAACAAGACGCATCCTCTTTTATAATCTTAAAACAATTAACGAAGCAAAAATTTCAAAAGCAATGAGAATCGTATAGATTATGGCTTTTAGAATGTCCAAATCTCCGGTAAAAGCACGTCCTCTTCGTTAACAGTCAAATGGTTAAACATATCACCTGTAAAAGCATATCCCCTTCGTGGACATTCAAAAGGTTACCCCCCCCCCCCCCCCATTTAATTTCATGATTGCAAGTTGATCATATTCGTTATTATTTGGGTGCCATTTACAAACCAAAAACAATGACACATCCACTAAAAAGATGAACTATCATCAGCTCTTCCGTAACATTCAGTAAAATTCTAACAAGGTGTCGAGACTCCAAATACCACTTACAAGGCAATTAAGTAATGAATTTTAAACGGGATCAATTTGCTTTTTGTCTTTTTTTTTACTACAGGACCAGCTTCAAATTTAATCTGCTAAGAGACATACATGGCCATAAAAATAAGGACTTTACCTAAATGAATGTAGCTAAGTCTTTGGTGGACTACATAAATTTAGTGTTATAGAAATATACGGGTCAAAAACTAAGGACGTTCCTTGCCTGCATGTAGCCAAGTCTTTGATGGACTAAATAAATGTATATAGTGTTAGAGAAAAGCTAAGGACTTAACTTACATGAATGTAGCCTAGTCTTTGATGGACAGCATAAATATAGTGTAGTAAGTTTCTACTTAAACAAACGTGTCCCCCTGGAGCACCAGGGCTTCGACATTCTGAGCATGTGTAACTGAAAATTAAAAATACACACGATATTTGCAAACCAATTTTACCGCTATTTTTACTTGCGTTTTGGTTAATCCCTAATGTCAAAGCATGTTGAAAGAGCAGCAGCTCTGTCTTAAATGAAATGTTAGGCGTCAAGAAACAATGTCTGCCAAGAACTTGCCTTTTACGTTACATTATTTTACACCGTTTCCGTTAGACCTTTTTGAACAACAAATACTCCGTTCGGGGTTGTTGTCTATTTTTGCACGTCCACATACAGACCCGGTCATATAAAACAGGTGCAAAGATAACTCTGCCTACGTGAAGGAAAAAAAGATTGAAATAATTTATAATCATAAATTAAAACCGGACACAAAAGCTCAAGATATTCCTTCATAAAACACTAGGGCCATAAGAAAAATAATCGTTTAACAGTCAATTTTGATAGCAATCATCGATTTAATAACGATATTGCAGTATTACTTACAATAATTCTACTGCGTTGCTAATGCAGTAAAAGCTATTTTTGTATATTTTGACCTCTTTACTTTTAAAGCAATTCAAAATATTAATAAACATTAGCATGAATCTTAATGCGTGCTTCTTCAATACAAATGCTTTGAACCGTTTGCCTCACACGATGACAACGACGTAGCTATATTATTGTCTGAACGTACTAAGACTCTAAATCAATCGTTTTAAAGCGATCAATTTTGTTGATACATGTACTCGCGGATTAACTCACATGCAGCAAAATATTTAATTAATTTTAAGTAATTTTGGACACGTACTGGGATCTAGAAGCAGCGTGACCGTTACAAGCGTCCTTGATGTTATTGTACGAGTAAGCGTTGTCATGAACACCGGATGGATGTTGCTTCCACAATGTGATGGTTCCTGCATCCGCAAGATGCAACAGTTTACAAGCGTAATCCTTGGCTGTAGCATCGGAACAGGTACCAGATCCTTTATGAAATAGAAAACATTCGATTAATCTATTACAATGATGGCATGTTGATGTTAAAGAGTACATGACGAGAGCGTACCGATTATCAAGCGGAGAAAACTTATGTTAAACCAAATGACTAGAACGACGACGGCAACATTTTTAATTCATTAAAGGAGTGTGTGTATTATAAAATTATTACCGGAAGTAGATGAGGCACCCGAACAATGAGACGCTGTCGATGTTGACAAGAATGTGCCTGCAACCCATGCATTCTGTTCATATAAAAATACATTCACCATGTAAACTGATATGCCTCTAAAAAATCTTATTTTGAAAAAACCAAATACATTTCAATGTTATCAATGATAATTAATTTACACATTTTCTCTTTCACACAGATGTTAACATTTTGTTGTGTTAAAATTGAGTTTCGTCATTCTCAAGAGATAATTTTCATCATCATCATCATCATCATCATCATAATCATCATCATCATCATCATCATCATCATCAACAACAACAACAACAACATCATCATCAACAACAACATCAGCATCAGCAGAAGCAACACTAATATTAGTTATCATAAACAAGTTTTCTTTTCTCCTTTTTAGACATTTCTGTAACATACATGTCCATTCACGTGCTGTAGCTGGTACCACGTATAACCGTCCTTGGTGAGAATACCACCGTGGAATTTGTAACATTCTGGTTTGCTCACAGTTGCAACAATTGATCCACTTAGTCCCGCTTGAATGGAGAGAAAAGTACATTTTTACATGACAAACATTTCCTATTATTGTAAATTAAATATATAAAGTAGAATAATAATTTGTAAAAAGCCATTAGGGACAATTCCGTCAACCAATGCATTTCTATCATTTAGTGATTTTAAATCAACAAAAATACGGTTATGGAAGATTCTGCTGAATAAAATTCTTAATGTGATGGATGTATCATTCACTACAAAATATTGAATAATAAAGATAAAAAAACCCAGATCATTTCATATTAAAGCTGACTGCTTAAAGCATTAAGCTTTCAGAGTTGCTTTAAAATCATAACCGCGTTAAATAAATGAAATTGACCTGTCCTGTCCACCTTTCAATGTGATGGACAAAACCATTCATAATTTTAAGGGGGGGGGGGGGTTCAGAATTATAAATACTGCCTGAATAGCGAATATTACGGTCCATGATTTTTGGTCTGCAATGGTTGCATTGAAAGATGTATACGCCGCCAGCAGGTCGAAGTTTATTGTGTCTATTGCTAAATAGTCTTTGATTTTATTACTGCATTACAAAGATAGACTCGTAGATATATTTAGCAGCACCGGTTCAGCGCCTCTCTACTGGACCTCTCTTAATATATATCAAAATATATGTAAAATATGTGTCTCTTTTAAATGATCTCAACATTAAATTTTATTTTGTATTTTTAAAATTAAGAATTAAATTACCGACATTAATCTGTCTAAACATTCTTCTTTTTCTCTGTATTATATATAGAGAGAAAAAATATAGAAACAAATATTTCAAATACCCGAGCTTCTAGCGTGAACGTTAGTTCCGGTTAGACATAGACAGGTGCCCGATGCCGGATGTTGACCGGTGATGTTAGCAGAGGTGACAGTTACGCCCAATATCACACACAGTATAACAGTGACATGCATGGTTACGTTCTATGCAAACTTATACCCTGACGGTGTATTAAACCTAAATAATAGGAAATGTTAACATGAGAATGTCAATTAAGTTTTGACATAGTTCATTCCTTACATTGCATGTGGCGCACAGTTCATATCAATTGTCACCACGCATTTCCAGAGAATCGCGGTGATCTCGATATTCTTCTTTTGAAAGCCATGGTAGAAAGCCCGGTTTTGAGGATTATTCAGACGGTAAAAGTCCCGCTAAATGCAACTTTTCGTGTTAAACATATCCCCAACTAGATATTGACACAAAATAAATACAAATATTTTACAGAGCGTGGGGACAGACGGACATTTCAACTCAGTTTATTGAGGGGGAGCGTTGGCCTTGTGGTTAAGGTGTCTGCCTCTCAACCCAGAGATCATAGGTTCGAGCCCTACTCGGGTCAATACCATTTTCTTCATACGACACCAGTACTGGTTGGTTCCAGGAAGCGGACTCGAAAGTGATATATATAAGTTGCAAGGAACTTGTTTCGCAATCGAGCTCAAATAAATATGTTTAAACCAGTTTATTGCCCCCCCCCCTTCCCCACGAGGCATTGCTGGGCATGGGAAATTAATCATGTGTGACCGTGCAAAAGCATCAACAGATACAAAGATACGTGTTATACTAACGTAACTCTACATGAATATCAATTTGAATGTGCTAAACTAACATGAATTGTTACAAAATTAGTGGTTAGATTTTTTTTTTTGTTCAGGATAATTTGTTCAAGTTAAAAAGGATACGATTTGCTGTAAGTAGCAATTAAATTATTCTGCATTACTTCCTAAATCATAACAAGAAACGATTTAAATGTACGCATATCCAGATAAATAAAATTACTTAATTCATCGTAATAATATTTGTTTTAATTAAAGTGAAGTAAGCTTACCTTACTTTAGCTTGTGATGAATGAACTAGTTTACAGGAAACACTGCGTTTATCTTATCTTTAAATTGAAATCGTCACGAGGCCATTTAGGTCAGAATTATCTAAAAGTTGTGTTGCCTGTCCCCGTTTATTTAAAATAAGATTAATTATGACTGTCTATAATTGAAAATTTTTAAAATTTCATTCACGGACATTCTTCCCAAGCAAATGATTCGGCGAACGTAGGACATAAACGTTTTCATTGAATTCACATGACACTTGAAAAAAACCCTTTATTGAAATTGTGCAATTAATTTGCCCTGTTTTGAATTTGGAACAGTCAATTTGAGGATATCAAAAGACCAACATTGATAAATCAGCATTATAGAGCCTGGTACGATTGCAAAGTTAATTAAAATCTTAGTGTTTTCTACGTAAACGTGTGTGTTGTCTTTATTTTTTTGCACGGAATTATTTATACATTTTTTTTCAAACAATATTGATAAGCATTTAAAGTGAAATGTTTTTAAAATCATTGAGAATGTTCCTTGCAGGAAACCATTTTAATTTGCTATCTACTGGATAGTTTACCAGTAAATCGGTAAGATATCAATCTCCTACGCAGTGATCTCCCCTTATCAGTACAGCGCTCTCTGCCACCACAAACATTTAAATATCAATATTTTGATATTTATATTGTTTAGATTTTTAATTTATTTTTCATTATTTTGTATACTTTTGATAATTATTTGATAAAATATAACGGACGTAGGTTGAAAAACTTAAAAATAAAACAGAAAAAGAAAAATGATGTTAGAATTTCAATGTAACGGTCGATATTTACATTTGAATTTCGACGTTACGTGATGTGAATTTCATCATCATGTGACGTCTGTGAAGGCAGTGATTACAATTCTGCCAAGGGAAGTAATCACTGTGAGGAGTTTGTCAAGATATAACCAATAAAATGTGAAGGCCTGGTTTTAAACCGGAACAAACAATAAACAAGTATGTCGGAGATTGACAAATCAACAAGCATGTCAGATATGTACAAATAAACAAGTTTGGAACAATTGGCTTAATTTTGTCCGGGGTTTACAGATTGTGACGACAGCAAAATCAGTTTATTATTGGATTTGATACAAGAGAACGAACATTAAAAGAAACTCGGCAATTGGGTCTCTTGTCTATGGATAACACATTTCTCTTTTTATCAATTAACTTTATGAATAGTATGTTATCCTATATATGTGAAAAGGGACACTACTGCTGTTTATGACAAGGTGAGACAGGAAACAATTGTCTGTTGTTAAAACAAAAAAAAAAACTTTGTCTAGATAAGTAACTTTTATACATTATTTCAGGTTATTCGCTCACTCCGATTTTCCAGAATAAGTTGGATAATTATAATTATAATATTACCAAAACTAGAAAAGCGTTGCAACGCTTTTCAGTCACACCGGGACGAGAATAGCAGAGACATACCATTTCAGTGTATATTTCTTAATTATCGTGTGCATATTTTTTCTGTTCTAAGTGCCGAAGCTGATATATGTAAGACATTTAAATTCCATGTATTAGGCCTTAGAACTTCAGACGAGTTCCTTTAATAATGTACTGGAAGTAACGAAATGATGACGTTAAATTTGTTTCTATCGTTATATGAAAATAAAAAAAAAAACTCTCATTCAATTATATCTCTACATGGGAAAATAGTCGTTTGGTTATATCATGAATTCGTGAGAGAATGTCATTCGTTCTATTATCTTCTCTTTCTAAATCAGGCTATGGTCTTGTAGGTAGGTCACTGGCTTTAAAAACGACACGTGTCTGTTGTCTTAAATGTTACTTTGTAAACTGAAAACAAGCATTGTATTTTTGCAGAAGGTATTCAGCCGTTAGAGATATATACCTTATTAAATGGCTTTACTTATTGTTCTATGTAATATAACCATAACATGTTTCTATATAATAATAATAAAAAAATATCTTTGGCGGGGATTCATTTTATTTAATTTTATTTATTTATAATGTCTAAGGGAACATAGTTTTTAAGGGAATATGGTGGGGCTAAGAGAGACGTTTGGTGCACGATTTACCGGTTTAAACTCCCCAGCAGTGCTTATGTTGCCTACCGTTCCAAGGAGGCGCCCCTCTGTGCTCCCCAGATATATTCCTTTGTTGTTTCATACTATTTTGGTGACACTTTTGTTTGTATTCCTTGTTGATTTCTCGTCTACGGTAAGTACCTTCCATTTTGTCCCTAGTTTTATTTTTTTTTTAATTCCCCCCCCCCCCTTCTTTGAATCTTGAGTCCCCTTCCCCTGTGCACCGTTACTTTGTAGGCCTATTAATCTATCAAGTATTCATTTTCTTTAATTTCCTTGTTGGTGAATTTCATTTCTTGTTAAGTATCTTTTATGTTATTATCATGTCCGGTGTCTGCCGTTCGCCCTTTCCTTTTTTGTCTGGGGTCATCCACGGCTCCTTGTCGTTTGCTCTTGTTGCTAGGTCGTGTTTGGGTTGCGTTCATTGACCGCTGCCTTTCCTTGTTGATCTTGTTCATCATAGTTTGGAGATAACATTATTATATATGTTATCCTTTCCTAAATGAAAAAGCCAACTTAAGGTCAAAGTTAAACGATCCTTTTGCTAAAGATAACGTGTACGTACATATTTAAGACATGTGTTTAACACATTATCTTCCCAGTTCAAGCGAACTAAAGACACACTCACACAACAAGGGAAGTAACAAATAAATACATTTTGAGCTAACCTGAAACAGTTTGTGTTCCTTGTAAAAAATACATCTCCTAAATAAGTGATGATTGTTTTGACATTCTACACGTTTTAATAGGGTAATCAAGTGCATTATTACACAGCAGAAAAGCGAATGCTTAACATACGACGTCAAGATATCGAATGATATCAGGAAAACTACTACAATCAAGAATGTAGTTCAACATAATTTTATCTAATAAAATATCTCTTGCATTATAGTATGCTTTTGAACGGTTTATATTGGAACTAAATTCGTGCATTATTTTACAACAAAGCACTTAATATGTTTTTCCTTAATTATAAATCATAATGAGGCATGTTGAGAAAATTTCAGTTTCATATTTTCTTACAGGAGCTTTAATTGTTTTATAATTTTAGAGCAGAACGACATACCCGTGCCGATTTTGCAACTCCGTTGTATATTGATGAGACGTTATTTGCATTATACAATCATTATTATTATTATTATAATTATTATTATTATTATTATTATTATTATTATTATTATTTTTATTATTTAGTTTAGATATCATACACATATATCATGCTCCGAGAATAAGAACTTAGATGTTTTAAGTTTATAATCAGTCAATTTTAAATCAGAATCGACTAATTATTTTTAAACTTATAGAAGGCAAAGGATAGAAAAGTAAGGTTTGATGAAGCGTCATTCTGATTAAAAATAGCGCAACTCAGCAAAACCAGACGAAAATTTCCCGGCATGAAAAGCGATAAGTTTTATGGTTAACACTATTTTTACCCTGACATACAAACATTATTTTAGACTGACATATATAACGAACATCTTTGTGCTCTTCTTTAATTTTAATACCTAAATTGCTTGCGTTTGACAGGCATTTGAAAAGTAAGAAATGAAACAAATGGACTTTTTATGTCATTTTGTCAGCTCGTTGATTAAAACTGTCCGCCAAGAGATCAACTTTAACAGATGTAACTATATTTTCTAAAGACCTGTCTTACGATCTTTGAAAGCAATCTTAGATATAACCGACATTCTTTAAAAATCGAATGACTAAGTCTATGCAATTCTAAATATCAAGGACAATTTGAATAGAAGCCTGTTAATTCCGTTATAACCCAGGCATTATATACAAGCTTCACATAACTCCCCTATGGAAAGGGTTTGCGAGTGCAAACTTATACAATATACAATGTACGTATGACATAGGAATTTTTAACAAGATACCAAAAGTTAATTTTTTTGAGAAATTAAAATGATAGCCTTTCTCAGTCATAATGAGCCTTAAACCTCATGCAAATATTGTCACTATGTTGCATGTTTTTTTAGGCGGATGCTTCACATACAGATTTGAGATATTCGATGATTGCTGACTTTTGTTCAGCAGCAATTTGATGGAAATA